TGCTGCTGTTATCCTCACTGTATCATCACCATGTCCAGGTGTGGCCCCAGAGCTGAGCAAGGCTCTGGAACAGCTGTCCTGCCCCAAACTGCTCAGCAGTCTGAGTAAAATACAACATGCCTGAGAAACACAAGGGAACAACATTTGTCTCTCCTGTGGTGGAGAAAAACTGTTTCTAAACTTTGATGATTTGTTTAGGCTATCAAAAAGAAAGTGCAGGGTAGTTTATCTTGTTTTATAGCTCTCCGTGTGCTCCCTGTTGCCTCTTTGAGTGTTTCAGCCACTGCACCTACATAAGACATTCAGGAAAATGCTCCTGTGGGTTTAACAAGAGTGGCTATCAGTCTGAAATCCATGAGGAGACACCAAAGCCACCAGGACACTTCCCACTTGATTCCAGCCCCAATGAGTCCAAACCTGCTAAGAAACACAGAAAAAAGAAAAGCTTTGCCTTCCCCGTTGAGGAGCAAAACAGGAGGGAAAAAGGGATGTGAATATGGTGAATTCCCTTTCCCTAATAGGAACTAGGGAACTAGACAAGATTTAATTGTGTTGTTGAGCCTTTAATTGGGCAGCAAACTTTCTTGCAGGTGAAAGATAAGTTAGTTAAAATTGCCCCGCAAAAAACAAAAGAAAGCAAACACCACCCAATTCATAATTTTGAGCAACCAAAGGAATTATTTCTGCCTATGTCACTGGTCTGCTGCCTGGTTCCAGCATGTCACTTCCCTCTGCTATACCTTGCCCTTGTCAAAGCAAAATCTAATACTGAACTGTCCCTCAGCAGATCCGTTCAAGGTTGATGAAGTGTTTTGGAGAAGGGGCTGCTGCTAAAAAAGCTGCTGTAAAAGTTTTGACCGTTAGCATTCACTTTGATGTATCAAAAGTAACCATTTTTCCCTAAAGTGCTGGAAGTTTCATTGTGTGAAGAATTTAGATTAACATTAAATACAGAAGGTTTTAGAAATCATTCACCTTGAAGACTGGCAAAACTGGCATATTCACAGCAGAAGTGAAAGATGTTTTATCTGTGTTGTCCTTTGTAATTATGCTGCTGAATAACAGGAGTATTATCACACCAGGGTTAGTGCCAGAGGATTACCCAAAGTTTTTCAAATGGGATGGTAAAGTGGTGCAAACAGGTGCATAGACAAAGAGCAAAAAGAGGGGAGGAAAGTGAGAGAAAGAAAGCTGAAGCCTCCTAGTTTCAGCCACATAGCAAAATTAATGGTTTCTCTAAGTGAATAGCATAGCTAGATTACTATTGAGCCTGTAAAATTAGAGGAATGGGTCAGATTCTTCATTTCACTCCTGTTTTAACTTAAGCAAAGGAGGTCACTTTAATTGTGCTTTAACTGAAAAAAAAAAAGAAAAAAAAAAGAAAAGAAAAAAAGAAAAAAAAACCTTTTCATTGCAATAATTTTTCAGTGGATAAAGTGACTCATAAGAAGAATATGGACTCTGAAATTTGCTTGCCAAGAACTCCCTATGCAAACTGGGTGCTGCAAACTGGGATTTCTTTCTGGATGTTCCACATGTTTGTATCCAGAAAGAGAGAGGAAGGCATTTCTAAACGAAGTTAAAATATCTTTACAAACAAAACAGTCAACATAAGCGCATGCTCATTATATTTTGGTGTTGCTTTTTTTGTATGTATTTGTGTGATGATTTACTTGTGTACATTAGAGCAAGATGGATATTTCTTAACCTCTTCAGAAAATAATGATGTACTTTTTCACAGTTCCTTTGCAAGATTAAACTCATAAAAAGTTGTTGGTGCCACTTTTGAGTATGAAATATATCAAGAGATGTGTTTCAGCATTTACTTTACCACAAACAAAGCTGTTAAGGTTTTGGATATGGACATCTAGAATAATTTGGGGAGAGACAGAACAGGACATTTGGGTATTCCATCCTCTTTCTCAAATGGTAGGTTTGGGAACATTTTGTGGTGGAAGGAAGCAATAATTCAGGAATTTGGGTCACTGGGGAAGGTGGCCCATCTCAGATTTCTGTGCTACCTCTTTCTGCTGGCTGTCACTGAGAAAAGGGGAATGTTTTAGCTTACTGATTGCCCTGCTTTTGAGGTAAACCTCCAGGTAACTATAGGCTGGTTACTACCACTTTGGTCCACACAAAAATCTGTAAGAGTAATAGAGGGGTAGGACGGGTCTGGGATGACTTATTGATGTTCCCCCTGACTAATGGCTACAGTGGGATTTCTATGATTCTAAGCAAGACTTTGAAGGCATCAGTGGTTTTGTTTTGTAATTAGAACATGGCAGTCTCTGAAAGGGAGGTCTCCTTAGAATATATGCTATAAAGAATTATCAGTATAAATATCTGTAATTGCTGGTCCCTGAATCACGTGGTGAGGGCAAACCATGGGTTTCACGGCTATGCAAATAAACAGCAGCCTTGCGATGCCCTGTCCCCTCTGTTTTCCTGTCGGCTCTGTTCTTGTGCATCACTAAAGGGCATTGAAATTGCACAAGTCAGCCCTCTCGGCGGGCCTGGTGCCCCGCTGGCTCACAAGAAAAGGGCCAGCGGGGAGTTTAGGGGCAGCAGAGTACACATGTATGTGCTCACTCCACATGCACGCCCTGCCTGTCAGCCCAGCAAGACCCGTCACCCTTCTGATTGTTGTTTTGATCCCACTCCTTCAGCTGACATGCTACGAGTCCTCCAGCCACGGCGGTGAAGGGCTGACACTTTCCTGTCCCAGAGAGAGCCCTGAGATAACACACACAGTAGAATTTGTGGTCAGTCAGATTCAGTTTCTATCTGCATCTAAAGCGGTGGTGTTGATTTGATGACAGTAACTCAACATTGTTATATTCCTTTGTCTGTGTTATAACATAGCCAAGAGGAGACATCTGAGATCATGCCTAGGTTTAGAGGAAGCCACAAATCAGAAACTCATTCCCTTCGAGTTGCTTTTTCACTTCTGTGTATACACATGAAAAAACAGCACTTCTTTATGTTTTGGAACAACTTTACTGAAATAAAATGTTTTGGCATTATCCAAATGATATTTTTTCCTGTTTCTAGTAAAACAAAAAAAATAAGTAAACTCAGTTTTGTTGACAGGGTCTGTATTGCCTATTAAGAAAGTATTTAATTTGAAAATGCAGGATAAGGCCAGTTGCATGTTATTGGGACAGTTTCTTGTGGGTGAATATTTCATGATCCTGAAGGTCAAGCTCTGCATGAAAATTTGTGCTTCTTGTGTGATAATGCAGTAGATGGGATCAGCACAAGTGTACAAGACATCCTTTCATTAGATATGGCTGACAGCAAAGCTTGCCAAGCAAAGTATTTCTGCTTTGCTGGTTATGGATATGGATATGGATATGGTGAGGTTCTTTCGTATTCCTCCTTATTAACCCTGCTCCCTAGGAAGTGATGCATGATTAAGCTAGGTCCAGGTCTGTTTTTTGAACTCATCATCTTGTCCAGAAGAGAAGCAGACAGATGAATCTTTCTTACTGGAATAAAGCCTGAAATCTAATCTCAGCTATACCATTACTAGCTGAGGAACTAAAGAGGGGTGAGAAAAATGCAGATGCAAGTCTGCTGCTGGCCTGCTGAGACAGCACCAGGTTCCTTTGACCTCCTGTGGGACTTCATGTTTTTCAAGAATTATCCACTAAGAAGGATGACAGCAAAATGGAATCTGTTGTCAGCCTGAGAAATTCAATCCTAGTGTTTTCTGCAATAGCTTTAAAAGCCACTATTTCACCTCATTTCATATAAGCCAGACTGCTAGGGGGCAAAAATCAGTGGTTCTCTATGGATGATTCCAGTTTCCCACCAGCAGCAGGGTCTGGCCACAGAACTTACCTAGATTTTGGATTATTGTGTTCACAGGACTCATCAAACAACAGTAGGAGAGTAAAGACTCTGTAGAGAAGATTTCCAGGGGCAACCCCCTTGCAGCCATTAAACATTTAAGTTGTAATTGAAGTTCAAACACATTGACTACAAAATGACCCATTTAGAGCACAGTGAATTTTTCTTAAATAAATAAAGATGTCTTGGTCAAATAGGCTCAGACATACCTGTTATACAGCTAGTGAAAAATTCAGGTAAATTCTACTTTATGAAATAGCTGTATGACAGAAATAAGTGTGGAGTACAGAGCACAGCTCTTGTCACAACAGTGAGCAAAACTGTGTCCAGAAGTAATGCGAGAGCCCAGGAAAATATGGCTAATGGAGAAATGGATCCCTGCAAAAGAGAAACAGTGCCTTATTTTCCAGTTGCAAGGGAATAAACAGGGTGAGGGAAGTGCTGGCTGTCAGACTGACTTGTGTGGCACAAGAAGTCAGGTGTTCCAGGCGCTGGAGGCGATGGAGGTGATGTTGTGCAGCGCTGCCAGAGCAGGGTGTCAGCCTTCCTGGCAGACCAAAGCCCCTGGCTATCATTTTTGTGGTTTGCTCAGAACAACAGCCTGCTCTTTGATCACTGTGTACAGGGAATAAGCAGCAAATCCACAGGGACTTGGTTTTCAAGCAAAACTTTCACTCTTCCGCAGTAAGAGAGGAATGTTACAAAGGAGACAAACTGACTTTAGCTTTGTTTTGTTGGATTCTTTTGTTTGTTTGTTGGTTTAAGTTGGTTTTTTTTTTAATACCTGCTCCTCACATGAAAGTTTTTTGGTTTTGTTTTTTTTTTTTTTTTTTCCTGGAGCCATTTTAAAGAATTTTAACATTTCTTGTGAGTGTGTTTATTTTTGAAAGAGACTAAATCTAGAAAAAGTAATATTCTAACCATGGTCACCTTTACCACTCACAGCTGGCTGGAGCAGAGCTCAACATGTCTGTGAGGGCACCCAAAAGAGGACATTTGTACAATATTATGGAGATTTCAAAAAGAAATGGGTAATCACCATTTTTCTTTGTGTATTTTATTTACATGAATTTATTGAAATGTCCTAGGCTCTGGAAGAAATAAAAATGTATTTTCTGCCACTATCAGATATATATTCAAACAAACAAACAAAATGCTATTGTACAGGAGGATGATAATGCCAGGAACTGACATCTTCCTTCTACTCCATTTATCTCAGCAATGCACTCTTAGTCTGGAAACTGTGATATTGAATATTGTCAGGTTGGGTTTCCACTAATTAATGAAAAACAGGCTGCAAGCACAAAGGATTAATTTGGCCTATTCAATCTGATCACAAACATTTTGAGAATCTGTTTAGCTTTTTTGAATGGTATGAGGTAAACCAAGGGAAAAAACATCTTTTTTTTTTTTTTTTTTTTTCAGCTAGTTAGCCAGAAAAAAAAAAAATCCACATGGATTTACCTAATGGGGTCAAAGCTGAGAAAAGCAGAACATTGTTCCTGGGAGCCAGACAAGGCAGTTATCTTATGGAGAGGGATGATTCTGAGCCTCTAAAAACTTTAGAGCTACTAACTAACCCTGTGAATTTAAGCAGGCAGCTTTTCTCTGCCTTCAGAGGGAGTTGGCACTCCCAGGATCAGGTGGAACTTACAACTCTTGTGCTTTCTGAGAGCCACAGGCGCGTTCTCAGGGATTTTGCAATGAGTGTAGTACAAAGCATCTGAGTCAGGCTCTCAGCTGGTAAAATCAATGTACTTGGTCAATGAAGAGCCTGGCAGTCTATATTCAGGTCCTACTTGTGCGGTGTGGAGTGTCTTTGATTAAACTGTAATCAGAAACCAGCAAAGAGATAATTGGCATGTGTATTACTGCAAAACATGCATAAAACAATACTGCTAGGCTTGTGCTGTAAATGTGTACCTAGGCTGATGTGCTAGCAATGAGCTGCCTGCTTGCTCCTAGGACTTAATTACGTGTTATGCCGATCGATGAAAGGTAAAAACAGTTGAATCAATATTTTATTGCACTGCTGTAAACTGTGGTTATAGCGTATTAGACTACGAGTGGCTGGCAAGTTTAAAAGCACATAACTGAATCAAAGTCTGAGTAACTGTTGTGTGTGCAATTTAAAAACTGTTAATACCTTCCAATTGAGAGAATTTGTTTCTAATTAATATAAAAGCTGTTTATTTAAATCCTAGGCAGGCAGTATTTAAATACACAAGAAGTCACCTGGGAATCCCATCTAAACCACTTTGTGGAAAGCCGTTATGATGTTGTGCTGAAATGAATCCAGCATGAAGTAACTGTGCTCTCTTCATTCAGAGTGTAGAACGGTTCTCTGCGTGCTGTTTTCTTTTTAGTTCTTCTTCCTGAATATGCTAAAATATTCTTGGCCTTGTTCCACGTTAAGGAATGATGAAAGTTACAGCGTTGCTGCAGTTTCCTGTACTCTTATTGCCTGCATATCCTCAGTCAGCCACCAGCAGCACTTGTTTAGAAAAGGTGTCATGTATGAACAAACTGAAGGACACATCCTGACAAAAGGAACACACAAAGTCAATAAACTGAAGACATACAGTGTGCTCAATGACAACATTTACAGAGTTTACGAATTATAGTTTCAAGTGCTCATAGAATACATGAGACCATGACTTTGTTTTCTTGATGGGGCTTTTCAAGTGGACTTCTTAGGATATTTTTAAATTTTTTGTGAGGTTTGAGGGGCTTATAGGTAGTGAGGGTAGCAGCATCACAATGTTTTATAATCTGGTTAGCAGAAGAGTTGCTGATTTTTTTGGCTTTGGTTTTTAAATTTATTTTACTTTTTCCCCTTGCTTGAAAGAGTGGAATAAATAATGTTTTTATTAAAAAATAAAAAACATTTAAAAGTTAATAATATTTCTGCATACTCTGGCATGAAAAAGTTTTCAAAACCTTCACAATTTCATGATAGTCCTTCTTTCACGAGCAGTACATACCTGTCATTCATTTTCTCCAGGTAGCTTCATTTTCTCCCTTCCATTTTTTCCACATTTCATCCAACCCCTCCATTTCCTGTGTGCACTGTGGTGACAATGACACCTGCAGCCACATCATATCATACCACACCATACCATCCCACACCATATCATAGAAGAAGCCAACAGCACTGTGGAGAGTGGTACTGGTAACTGCCTGCTTCACCTGCAGTGCAGAGAGTAGGCTGTGAGTTTTAGCAGCTTCCTAAAGTGGGGGAGTGGGTGAGGGAAAATTTGATGGTTTGGGCTAGATTTTTACTGTGGGTTTATTGAGCTGGGTCCATGTGAGGAGTCAGCAATGACCAGTTCCTTTACTGTCTCATTTTTATCATCCCTATCACATGATGGATGAGTTTGTCCCTTGTAAACTTGGGAAAGACAAGGCCTTTATTTAATTTTCCCCTGTCATAGTGGTAAATTCAGCCTCCAGTAACTTTCTCTGCTTCTTAATTACGTGCTATTGAGGTTTTTACTGAGTATTTATCTCTTCACACATCATACTCCAAGCCTCTCAGCTGAGCTCAGACTATAGCACTGCTCACCCATTGCCACCTCCCCTTAGCCCAGGGATGTCTGCCCTGCAGGAAAGCAAGAGTGATGTAAACAGGTATCTAGCAGGTCTTTCAATGGCATGTAACATATTTCTTTGAAAGGAATAAACAAATCAGCTGTTTAAGCCCTATTTCTGCAGGGTTTCTCTGCTGCAGATTGTTTCCTTGGTGTGTTTTTTGGCATCTCTGTAATGGGCAGCTTTAAAATCTCTCAGGGGAGTAAAACCTGGTAGTTCAATCAGTGAGAAAGAACGTCATTGGATCAGGACGGGGGAGCAAGGAATGTTTGCCATGCAGACAGTTGTAATTTACAGGCTATAAATGAATCTATTTAGATAACAGAAAAATGAAGCCAAACCTCATCTGTCTTTCCTTTTTTTTTAACCCAACATAAGAGAAGTTGCATTACCTCCTAACATACTTTCTTCTGCACATCTCTGCTTTTTCCTGTCTGCTGCACCCATTGGCAGCCACCTCACGGTGTGTTTTAGGATGGATATGTCACTAAGCAGGGGAAAGTAATTTCCCATAGCAATGATAAATCCCACTGTAAATTGAAGGGCAATCTCTGCATGAGAAGCTTATGGATTTTAACTTTAACTACTGTCTGAAAGACCAGCATTCAGTAGCTTTGAGGGTACCTTGGCTCTAGTAACAAGCTGGGTGACTGGTGGCATGAGGGTTATCAGGAAGTTAGATGCCATCTTCAGCAAGGCTTTAACAGGCTCCATAAAACACAGGTGCATTATGCTGGGTTAAGCCATTTCAGATTGGGCTGCATGCCTTGGGGTGAATCCGGAAGAAATCACTGTCAGTGATCAAATATTGATATATTGTCATACCCACTGATGTTACCGTAATTTGAGTATTTTATGAGTCTTTACTTAGCAAAGACTTAGAAGAGCACTGACTTAGAGGCTGGGTTATCTCTGAGCCTGGAGAGCAGGTGGCCAGGCCGTGCTCAGGTGGGGATTATTGCTGCCGACGGTGTTAGAAGGCTTGCTGTGCACCTGCCTCCTCCTCATAACAGGCACGCCAAAGATAAAAAGAGTCCGATTCCCTGGCACTGCCAACCAACTCCACCAATCTTTCAAAAACAAATACTCAACCTTGACTGTAAAATTAAATAGAAAATAAGAGTTGTCACTACCTTCTATTGCATGTTGATTGACCTGAGCACTCTCCAATCTCAAACATAAAAGATTAGATATCACTTTCCATACAGGTGTATGCAAACCATTTTTTCGTCTAACTGGGACAACGAATTGTTCAAAGTTCTGGTAAATGCCCATGTGCACTTTTACAAGTGTACTTTGCAAAAGGAAGGCATTGACTTGTGCCTTCAAAGGTGGTGATTTACAATGTCCTGTCTAGTGTTTCCAAAATCAAGAATTTTGTTTAAGCTTTGCAGAATGTACTGAAAAGAGATTTCTGATGCAGTGTGTGTGTTTACAGTGCAAATATAGGCACAGGCTTTTTAGCAGTTAATTACTCAAAGTGATCTCACACAGGAAAGAGCCAGCCCTGCAAGGGATGGGGGAGAAAGAATCTTCTCCTTCTTAGAGGCTGCTGTAAGCCAAGAGAAACTACAAAAATAGAAGGTTTCGTGTGGTAAAGTCAGTCTTGGGAGGGATGAGGGCACCAAAGTAAAGACACAATTTCTGTTTCGAAAAGATGGACAGCATCCTTGACTGCCATAATGGTTTTGAATTCAAAATTCACTGACTGTCTTTACTAAAAGCTATGTGTTATGTATGTATGTATGTATGTGTTTATTTATTTATTTGTTTATTTTAAGAAAAGGAGAGAGACAGAGAGAAAAGAAGTTTACATTTCTGAGAAAAAACACCAAAACTCGGTAACACTGCTGAAAAGAGCTCATGAAAACTTAAGATCAATTTTAAGCAAGCATTGATCATTTATTTCACTAAAGACTGTTCTATATGCTTCCTTAAAAAAATATTGAACAATGGTTTCTCACTTTTTTTTTTTTTTAATGTCTTGCTATTCCCCAAAATACGTGAGTCCTCAATTTTGCTTTACGTGCTAGTGAAATGAATATTTTTCAACAATTACAGATGAAATTTTTTCCCGATAGTGATGGGTCATCATTGAAGAGGTATCTCTGCAGGTGAATTGAAGGGATGAAAACTTTGCTTGGACAAATAAATCTTTCCAAACTGTCATGGAAGAGCTAAACAAAAAAGATGGATTCAGCTTTGGCCCCCAGCATCAAGGACAAATGACATCATTTCTTAATAAATGGTGAGCCCACAAGAGAAGGCCTACCTTTGCAGCAGTTACCTCAGCAAAGAGACAATCTGTCCCTCTTCTCCCTTCAAGGATTAGTTATTTCAGAGGTTAATTGTCCTAAGGATTTATTAATCCAACAGCTGAAAGAAAAAAAAACAAGTAGACATTTCTGCCTGGGAAAAGACAGTATTTTTCCTAGTTGGGAGACACTGTTAGCTGGCTGCTGCTGTGATCTATATCCTGTGGCTATTTAAAATCACGGACAAGATTTTCCTTTTCTTCACTGGTGTGTTCACACAGTGTCTCATGACACAGAGCAGCCACTGAGGGGATGCTGTGCTTTAGTTGCTGGTGTGTTTCAAGGCATGGCCCAGCAATGGTCAGAGTCAGTGGGAAGCTCTGGAACGTGCTGTGGTGGGAACAAGGTTAAGTCCACACTGCTTCGTGAGGGTTTCCACGTGAACATTCTCCAGGTCTGACAGAGCACATATCTGGGCAGATGTGTGGCAGGTCTTGGCCAGGTGGGGGTTCTGAAAAGCTGGCCCTGGGGCTCTCACATTTGCCTGACTCTGTGCAGGCACCATGAATCCCTGTGGGAATAAGGCAGGCAGGCATCACACACCACCATCACAGCTGGAGTGGCAAATACCTCCTCATAAAATAGAAACAAGCAATTTTACCTTGTCCTCTTGTCAGGTTAATTTCAGACAGCTCTACCTAAAATTCCATTTTCTCTCTTTTATGCAGTCATTTCATATATTACTTTGGGGAAAAATATTCCTAATACATTACAGGACATTTGCCTTTTTTCCACAATTATTTTGAAAATGTTTTTCTATGTTTATTCCTTTTGTGGAAAGTTTCTTGACTAATGATTTGGGCTGGGAAATGATAATTTGTGTTTTAAGGCCTTCATGCTTCTTCATCTCACTATTTTCCTTCCAACAGGCTCTACAAGAGGGTTTTTGATTATGTTTTAATTGCCAGAAGATTATCTAGGTAGGAATAGATTGACTCACACCATTGAAGGCTTTTTCCACTCTTCAGGCTGTAACATTCAGGTAGTTCAGTCCCAGCCAGGAGGTTCAAACTGTAGCTAGGTGCCCTGTTTTCCCGGCTGTATAGGATCTGTACTCATTTCTGGGACGTGTCAGAGTCTGCATCACAAAACAGCTTCTCACCAGAGTAAAGTGATGCTCACCTCCACCTATGCTCATGCACCTGGTCCTCTGCCTTTGGAACTTGTGTGTTCAATTCTCCTCTCTGAGAATGCAGATCAGAGATCTTCCTCTTCCGTTTCTTAGGTTTCTGCTGGACATCTGTCCTGGTTTAGGGCAAATTTGGGAGGAAACCTCCGAATGGGGTCCCTCTAGAAAGCAAATTCAGGCAGCACCTCCCCCAACTGGTTTGGGAAAAGATTTCCTTAGAGAAAAGTGGAAAAAACTGTTTATTTAAGAGAAATTGAACAATATTAAACAATGAAACCTCTTGCTGTTCAAAGAGATGGCACATCCAGACAGGTCCTTGTCCTGGGGTGTAGCTTGGCTCACTCAGGTTCTCATCAGTCCCTCTGGTGCTGGAAAGTGCTGAGGCCCAGGCCTCGATGGACCACAGGTGTGAGCTCCCAGGGTTTGTCTGAGTTTTCAGTCCAGAGCAGGTTTGAACAGATCCAAGGGAAAAAACAGTCTGGGGAACTTCCCTGCCTCAGCTAGCTAAAAAACTAAGAGAAAAGGAGGGCTCTGTCCTGCTGTCTGTCCATGCTCCAGACAGCACAGTCCAGGAGCAGGATGCAGGGAGTGAGGGCTCTTTCTCAACAAAAACTGGGGCTTCTTCCCCCTCTTTAATATGCAGAACTTAGTATGTAACATAAACAAGGTGACTGGGGATACAAGCATCACAAAGTCACCTCATGACAACATCCTAACTTGCCCAAAGTGTCTCTGCATGAGCAGGGAGGGGCTGGAGTCCTTACTGCACCATTGTGCCCTGTGCTCCAGCAGGGAGGAGGAGATAAGCTGTTTAAGGGATTGGGCTACTACAAACTTGCTTCCTCTCTGAGCAAATTGGGCCAACTTGGGCTGTTCAAGCACATGCTGCATCTCTTGCTGCCCTGATCTGTATTGCCTGCATTCAGCCTCTGTGGTGATGTCATGAATTAGACCCAAATGCTGTTTGACAGCCACAAGGCTGAAAATAAAAATGCAGTAATAACGCCAGTACTTTGTTACAGCACTGTACACAGTATCTGGCACTGTGTTTGTCGTGGAGGATGATTGCAAAGACATGTAAGAAGTTAGGATGGGTAATAATTTGCAGGAGTGTCCTTCCCTGGCTCACATGATACCTCACAAAACAACCAGAAAGCACAAAGGGGAGGGATAGTGGAGGGTCTTTTACTCTGCATGCTTGGCTGAGCCTCAGACAGGGTGAGAGAGATCATGGCTGCATTGTCAGGGAGTTCAGTGAGAAGACCCTGTTGGCTCTGAATTTGCTAGTTGAAGGCCATGCATGTGTTGACAGGGTGCTGAGCTGAGCCCAAGCGAATACTCCTTGGCTGAGAGGAAAAGCCCATGTGTGTGTCAGGCTGATAAAGCCGCTCATCCTGCTGCAAGTGTGTCTGCATGGCAGCATGCTCTCCCACGGAGGGACAGTCCCCCTGAGCACTGTGCTCCACTGGGCTCTGCCCCCACTTCAAACTGATTTGGGAAAGGGATAATTTGCTTGCTGTGAAAGGGTGGCTGCAAAGCTTTCTTTCTCCCACCTGGTGCCCATTTGAACTGTCAGATCTATTACAGCTGTGAAGGGGTTGTACCTTGGCACATCTAAACCCTTATTTCTCACAAGCATTGCTAATTCAAGAAATTCTGGAGGTGTTTATGGATGGCTGAGCACCACAGAGCACTCTGAAGGGTCTCATGGTCCTTGGACAAAATCCATGCTCTGCACAGCACATTCACAGAAATTCAGAACACCCTTTCTATTAGATGTGTTTTAAAAATCCTAGAGGAATGACCACACAAGGTATCTGAGAATCACTGTTTAACTGTTCCTTTAGTCCCACATCTGCAGTTCTACAAAGCTCAAGGCTTGGCTGGCTGAATGCTGCTGTGTAGCACCCAAAGTCTGTATTTTCTGGTATCATGAAAGGGGGTGTTGATCAAAATAAGATATTGACTTGGCACTGAAGATGTTAAATTAGGCGTTCACCTGAGCTCTGTGAACCTTGCAGTACATCTAGACCAATGCAGTGTGAGCAGAGCCTGCAACCAGTGGCTCTCAGGGTGCTGATGTCACTGAGATCTGCCTGCTGGTCACAGAGTTAATTTCTATATGTAGACTGTATGTCATCCATCTATGAATCTTCTTTTCTAAATATCACCAGCAGGCCCAGCCTATCCAACCTTGGTGCTGAAATGGCCTCTTTTGTGCCCAAGTAGTGAGCACGAAGGCTGGAGAACCCCAGCTGCTGTGTCCCAATAACATCAAATGTGCTTTTATCATTACATGTTCATCAAGAACAACAGCCACATTCACCTCAAAGCTAGGAGTGTCATCTCAGCCAGGCCATTGCTTCTGAAGTCTTCACTGGCAAAGGGAGAAGCTGTTTTGTGGGTTCATGCAGGAGCATGAGGAGGTGCAGTGCTGTTATGCCTCATATCACTATGCTGCATACAAAGTATTAGAAATGTACCTGACAACACTTGGCCATGGCAGGCAAAATGCCTGTGCCTTTGCTGTCCAGAGGTGCAGCATGGAAATAAAGCTTTTCTTGATGTGCTCAGCCATAGGAATGTTTTCCAGGTAGGCATGTTTCTTCAGCATTATATATAATTATTATATATTATATTATATATATATATATAAATATGTTTATTATAATAAATATAATATAATATAATATGATATGATATGATATGATATGATATGATATGATATAATATGATATGATATGATATGATATGATATGATATAATATGATATGATATGATATGATATGATATGATATGATATGATATAATATGATATGATATGATATGATATGATATAATATAATATAATATAATATAATATAATATAATATAATATAATATAATATAATATAATATAATATAATATAATATAATATAATATAATATAATATAATCTTATTATATATAATGTATATAACCAGGTGATTATAAAAATCTTCCCTTTGAAACCAAAGGGTCTCGGCAGGGATTTGGGCTGGTGGATTTTGCGGGAACTGGGAGCGTTTCCCGCGTGGTTTTTGCTGGCGCTCCCCGAAGAATGCCCGTGCTCTCCGAGCGCTGGCCCGGGCGCTGTCCGTGGTGCTGCCCGGCGGCGGCGCGGGGGTGCCCGGGTGGGAGGCGTGAGCGCCCGGGCACGCTTGAGAGAGCACAGGTGTGAGAGTGAGAGAGAGTACAGGGGCGTGCAGACTGCTCCTGCTGGTGCTGATGTGTTAGATGCATCATGGAATCACAGAATGGGTCAGGCTGGAAGGGATGTGAAAGATCATTTAGCTGCAAACACCTTGCCATGGGCGGGGATGCCTCCTGCTAGACCAAATTGCTCCAAGGCGCATCCATCCTGGCCTTGGACACTGACAGGGATGGAAGATTCCCAGCTTCTTTAGTAAAACTGGTCCAGTGGCTCACCAGTGTCCTTTTTACAATAAAATTTAAAAATTGTATCATTTTAACATGATTACACACAGTCAGGATCTCAGTTCAACAGTCACAAGTTCTTTAGAGGTCTGCAGTTTTCAAACCTTTCACAAGACAGATAAATCAGTATGGACCAGGAAAAACTGTATGAGTTAGTATTGTCTTCATATCCCTTTACTTCCCCTGCTAGAAATACCACACAGAGACCATTTTAAGAGACTGAAATATTTCAGAAACTTTTGAGTGATTCTGCTGAATTTTTTTTTTTTTCTCTGCTTGATTCTGGTAGAGAGCAGGATGTGTTCCATTAGTTATTGTAGTATTTCTGTCATATGATAGTAATGCTGCTGTTTATTTTGACTCTTGCATTAAAAAAACACCCCTTTTTGCTACAGTCTGCCAAGCTTGATTCTTTCATGTGATTATGGGAATAGACACCTCTGCCATTTGCAGCCCAGGTATGGAAATTCATATTTAATATTTCTGGGGTACCAGAGAAATCAGTAAAATTGTTGGGCAAAAGCTGTCTTGCAGATGATGAGATATGTCCCATTGCTTCATTTCTGAGCAGCATTTCTTTTGATGCTCATCAGGTAGAAAACTATTCTGGATCTATTCAAGAGGCATGACCTCTTCATTCTGTCATGTTCTGCTGGTGGCAGGTACCTCTTGATGCTCATTCTCTCTTATAGTAGGTAAGCTGTGAAGAATACCATTTAGCCCAGAAGGCTTTTCACTGGCAGCAGAATAATGCTCCCCACTGTCAGAATATACAAATGTGGGTTTGAAATTCCATCCCTCCTTGGAGTGGTGGGATGGTTCTTTGTGCAGACCTCATGATTCACAATGTTCCTTTGCAACTCTCCCCAGGCAGCAGAGTTACCCAAATGTAATCCCAGCTAAGCCTCAGTGGAGAAGCCCAAAGCCTTTTTCTGTGTCTCTCTCCACGTGTTTTGATGGGGTCCTATGGTACCAAATCCTTTCCCAGGATCTTAGAGTAAGGAATGTGACAGAACCACTAGGGGCTATTTTGGCTCACAGGATGCCCACAGCAGCTGCTCCAGCTCTGGCCAGCTCTGGAGCACCACAGAGGCAGCTGCTTTGCACTCACTGAGTATCTGGGGGATGTTTTTTCCATTGCCTCGTGCTCTTGGTTTGAACCTTTCAGTGTCTGTAGGCTGACCTTTGCGTACTTACCCTCCTCTTACTGGAGTGAAAGGAACAAGTAGTTCTTGCCCCTTTGTTTCAGAGAGCAGTTCATTGTCCACTCTGTTTTCTAACACAAAATAAATAAGGAAATAATTTCATCATTACTTGTTAGTTTGGCTGTTTTTTAATAGGGATGTAGGGCAGCTGCATGGAGCTTTGAGAGTTTCCTTAGAAAACCCCAGGCCTTAAATAACAGAAGCAAACTCTTGGAGAGGGTAAAGAATGACAATGTACTTCTCCCTCTGTTTGGCAGGACAGGCAAATGGATATATAATGTGTTTCCTAATCACAAGGATTTCTGTCCTGTGATCAATTATTCTTTAATGTCATCACTTTAATAATATGTCATCTTGAATTTGTGACACTGTTGGGCAACACAAATGACCAATGAGGGGGATTTGGCCTGTGTCAGTGAACAGCATCTGCTCAGCCCCATGCCTGCAGAAATGCCTGAGGGAAGGTGTGAGTTTAACTTTGTTCCCTCCCTCAGCAGATTCCTGTTTCTAG